GTGCGTGCACGTGTGAGTGTTCTATTTAAACGTCTCCATTGCTTTTGGAACAGCCCAAATAACAATAGCAGCACTTGCAGCAACTACACCACATTATTAGCGGATGTGTCTTTACAATGGTGATGGCGATGACAGTATCAGAAGCAACATCTCCTCCTTCCAATTAACTCACTCTTAAAAAAATAATTTTTCAGAGCCTTGTCTATCTTTTTTTTCCAAAACTATTCTCCTTTTGTTGATCCTCGAGGGGAAATTTGTGAGACACCAGGATAAAAGCAAGCACACGTCAAAATAATGAAATCGAAGGAACTGGCATTTCCTCTATCCGCTTGGCAATTTTTATCGAATTTTTTTCCTTTGTTTGAACAGCTGTAAAGTCCTTTTAAAGGCACATTTCTGTTTGGATTTGACGGAAAAATGTTGATTTAAATCGCAAAAATGTAAATGTCCAGTGTCTAAAGACCCTCAAGCTTTGGAAGTCGCCACATTTTTGGCGGCCATTTTCTCGCTAATTTTACCTCTGAAACCAGACGACCCCCACCTCATTCAGTGGCAAATATCTCGACTTCTAGTCATGAAATATGAGTGTTTTTTCACCGAAAGCAAAACAAATGAACAAGCTTTAAAATGATACCAATAACTCCACATGTCAAAAATTTGACGAGCGCCTGATTCCACCGCGTCGTGACACATTTGGTTTACAATGGCGTAAAATAAGTCATACATACATAAATACGGTACATGGATGCATAAATACATTGATACATACATGTTGAAACATAAATATAAACTGCAAACGCGCCATTGCTGTTTTGTTTTCGGCCAGGGTGGTTGTGTCTTGCAAAAGGACCCTCTCAAGTGACCACCGACATGAAAGCTGTGTACCAAAGAATGCTTGACATTATTATGAGTCTGAACTCACCAACCAGTCGGTCACTTTCTCACCAGACCTCCTCCCTCCCCCCATTCCCTCTTTTAGATCCTCCATCCGGCCCCTGTCTCCATCTCCGAGTCTCTCTTTCCTAAAAATAGATTTCTTATTTTCCTGGGCGTTTGTTTTACGTCATTTAAAGAAATGACTTTATATCTTTAGTTTCCTGCTTTATTCCGTCAAAAGAATCGATATTTTTTTATATCAAATATAAAAGCTTAGCACACGTTTTATGAAAACACAATCTTCAAAATATGTTTGTATATAACATGGGGTGCATCAAAGGCCCAGATAAAGTCCAAGTGTTCGTATCTTTTGATGTATACATCTTTGGTGACGTTCAGTTGTGGCAATAGCCAATCAATGTCTTTTTCATCTGCCAGCCAGTCATTTCCACCTCTGAACACAGCTACAGGGACCTTCACCTTGCTTGGGTTGATCAGGGGCGGAGTAGTCTGAAAAGATTGTAGGGAAACATACTTTGTACTTGATGATCGCTTTTTATGTTTGATAATATTCCTCTTGGGAAAAGTGCACCATGTGACCTTCACCTTGTCGAACGCAGCGATGAGAACTTTTCACTAGTCTTAACGTACAATGACCTTTGGGTACAATGAACAACTCGTCTTCTGAACATTCCATCACGAGTAAAACGCTCTACCACGAAAAATAATTGAAATGTTTAAGTCTCTTATATCACAATGCATGTGTTTTACGCCCCCCCCCAAACCCCCCCCCCACATGGACACAATTTAGATCATTTTAGGATGTGGGATTCGATCCAGCCAACCCAAGCTAAAAGGGCTACAATGTTTAAGTAGAAAGATTGAGAAATATACCCGACAAAAACGAATTCTCCCCACACGGCAATTGAACTTTCGTCTTCCGACTGCGATGAAGAAGCGTGTAACCACTACACCCCATATGTTCATTGTGACTGGGTGCAGCCTGATGTTTTTGGTAATAAAAAAAGAAAGTTTGTTGTCACTACATCTAACGACAATAAACTTTACCCCGTATTTCGAATAAAGACGCACCTACAGCACATGATTCGAATCACTTTTCGAACATTTTGAATTTGAGTAGTTTTGGTGAGATTTAAGGCTCCCACTCTCAGTTCTTTTGACTCAGTCATGTCGGAGATGGAATTCCCGCTTCTTAAATATCTCCCAATATTGACAGGGTCGTTACTCGTTTACAATAGCCAATGGATGATTTTGAAGACTGAAAGCAAGGGCTCCTTACCTGGTTGTAATGTTGCATGTTTGCATTCGGTGAACCATAATCCAATTTCTGGAATTCCTTCGAGTTAACCATCTGAAAGAGAGAGGTGCACACAGAAACTATATTTCAGTATTTGTATCCGGTATATCTGCGCTAAATCGAAACTAAAGGTAAAAGATATCTTTAAAATACAAACAATAAAAAAAAACTTTGGGAGAAAGCTGCGTGAAAACAGCAAATAAGACAGTGTACAATATAATATAGTAATAATGATATGCCTCGAACTGCTGATCATCATCAAGTTATACTCAAACTCGGTACTCGTATCAGTAGAACTGAAAACCGGAGTTTTATAAACGTATGGAAAAACAAAACAATCTTCCCGGATCACAAGGCGACCTTTTACTTCAAGAAAGCCGGTAGGATCCGTGTACTCTAAGAAACTTGACTACGATGATAAGGCATCAAGGCGGACAGATTACTCTTGTAGGCTACCATTCCTGCAAAGGGTTGTTTTTTTTCAAAATCCGAAATTTGGGATTGTTCAACTAAGCTGTTACAATGCTTTCTTATATTACCTCAAATGAAGCGTGACAGGCCGTTACCTCAGAATTCCAAAGTTCTATCAGCCTAGAACATAGTTTTGAGAAATATGACGTCAAAGATTTTGAGTTTCAAGATCATGTTAACCTTTTTCGAATGTGATTCTTTGAATATCTTGATAACGACTCCGAATAATCTTAGAATTTTGATAGAGCAGATAAGATATTTGATTATTTGGTTTTTAACCTCTTGGTCTTAGTTACTCTATACGGCCAAACATGTCAGATAGAACCTTGTAATTCTAAGGTAACGAGATCTCAGTGAACTAGACGTCATATTATGGTAAACGAAGACTTCCCCCTTTTGTTTTTTTGGATTAATTTCATTTGTATCATAAAATGAAATTGAGTAAGATGCAGCATAATTTGATATTTATTCCTCGGCAAATGTGGTGTAACATACTAAGCTCGATCTCCTGGTGGGGAATTATTTTTATCAGGTATCTCATTCTGTTTATCGAGATATTGTAACCTTCCAGGAAGGCACTGTCTGGAAGGGATGAAACAGCCCGTCGCCTAAACAATCTCACCTCTTTCACCAATATGTAGTGCCCCCTTCCTTTTGAGTCAAACTTATATTCATAGCTGTAAGTGTTGTAAAAGACAACCTACCTGAGCCCAGTGTAACACGGTCCAGACTGAGGTTCCTGCAGGGTTGTGAGCCTCGTACACAGGCATTCTGGTCTGAGAAGTGGAAAAAAACCCACAGTACAAAATCCGCAAACACACACAGACACACACACACACACACACACACACACACACACACACACACACACACACACACACACACACACACACACACACACATACAATATACAAAAAAACAAAACAATTAAAATTAACACTTCTGAGACGTAACTAATAATAAGTGAGGGTTAGAGAAAGCTAAGTATGCTGACGTGGCATGCACATGTCTGCAAACGCACACTCAAAGCAGACTCACATGCATGTTTTGTTTTGTTTTATTCTACTTAAAAAGTTGAGTAAAGATGTTAAATGCTTGTTTCAAACTGAGCAAACTTTGAAATATGGGAGAAACAAAACTCTCCAAAACATCCAAAAAGCTCACCTCATCGTTGCCAGATATCTCGGTGTGATTCCCATCGTACTTATGAGAATACTAATGACGTAGTACGCCATAAAGGGAATGAAGTAAGGACAGCCGTTGTCACATAGTCCCGGCGTCGCAGTTCCTTCCCCTGCGTTGATTTCTGTGCAGTTGGCGAATTTCTTCAGCGGAAGGAAACAATATCTTTGTTAATTAATGTTATTTGCCCTCTGCTTTGGTTGTTCCTGGGTAAGTCTACTTTGTCTATATTGTGTATTTCAGTATCTTTATTCATCACAATGCTGTTGTTGCTTCTGCTTATGTTGTTTTTCTTGATGCAGTTCAGATCTTATATTTTTATTATTGTTTTTTTTCTTTCTGAGTCAGTTATTGTTGTTGCTCCTGTTTATGCCTCAACTTATTCTCAATGATATTGTCAGTTGGTGTAGACCGTAGCCTAAACATTGAAACGGGGATGGAGGTGTGTTGTTGGTGTCTTTGTCATTAAGTTTTGTTTTGTTATGTTTATTTGTTTTGTTGTTGTTGTTCTTATTATTTTTGTAGTTGTTTTGTGTATTCGGG